GCATACATCTGAAGACAAGAGTTGTGTCCCCCTTTGGCCACAAGGGGTAGTATATATATATTGTATAATATACAGTTGCAAGAAAAAGTATGTGAACCCTTTGGAATTAGCTGGATTTCTGCATAAGTTGGTCATAAAATGGAGGAAGCCACTGCTGTCCAGAAAAAACATTGCTGCACGTTTGAAGTTTGTAAAAGAGCACCTGGATGTTCCACAGCACTACTGGCAAAATATTCTGTGGACAGATGAAACCAAAGTTGAGTTGTTTGGAAGGAACACACAATGCTATGTGTGGAGAAAAAAAGGCACCGCACACCAACATCAAAACCTCATCCCAACTGTGAAGTATGGTGGAGGGAGCATCATGGTTTGGGGCTGCTTTGCTGCCTCAGGGCCTGGACAGATTGCCATCATCGACGGAAAAATGAATTCTCAAGTTTATCAAGACATTTTGCTGGAGAACTTAAGGCCATCTGTCCACCAATTGAAGCTCAACAGAAGATGGGTGATGCAACAGGACAACGACCCAAAGCACAGAAGTAAATCAACAACAGAATGGCTTCAACAGAAGAAAATAGGCCTTCTGGAGTGGCCCAGTCAGAGTCCTGACCTCAACCCAATTGAGATGCTGTGGCATGAGCTCAAGAGAGCGATTCACACCAGACATCCCAAGAATATTGCTGAACTGAAACAGTTTTGTAAAGAGGAATAGTCCAAAATTCCTCCTGACCGTTGTGCAGGTCTGATATGCAACTATAGGAAACGTTTGGTTGAGGTTATTGCTGCCAAAGGAGGGTCAACCAGTTATTAAATCCAAGGGTTCAGAGTTTCCACCCTGCACTGTGAATGTTTACATGGTGTGTTCAATAAAAACATATAATTGTTTATGTGATTTTAGCTTAAGCAGACTGTGTTTGTCTATTGTTGTGACTTAGATGAAGATCAGAACACATTTTATGACCAATTTATGCAGAAATCCAGGAAGTTCCAAAGGGTTCACATACTTTTTCTTGCAACTGTATTTTTGAAAAATCTGCATTAGTATTTTGTATGCAGTCAATCCACTAAGCACATTCCTGAGAGTTCTTATACTTAATCAGCATTTCAAAATAAAAGCTTTTTGATATTGTAATAGTGCAGGGCCTGTAGCTGTATCCACCTTTACTCGGACATCCTCAAGGTCAGAGAAGGGTGGCGAAAAGATAACGGATACTAAGATATGTTATATTGTGCCGAGTAATGTTAAAGAAGCAGAAATAGGGATATCAAGAAAGTAAAAAACTGCACTTGAAGTAGACAGCATAATGCACTCTTAATTAATAATGAAAATAGAAATATGCAATCTCATTTATCATATTTAAGTTTACATTACATAAAAAGGGGACTTTTTCTCTGTCAAACAAGTGCTAATCGTAGCTTCAAAAGCTACTTTGGGTGCTTTGGCAAGGAAAGGAGAAAGAAAGCAAAGTTTCCAACTGGATCTTAAAGGATTCTGCCTTGAAAATCAACATAATAAATATTGTCTCAGGACTAATTGAATTCTAACTACTAACTAGAACAGTAGCTGTAGATAACCAGTATTAACTAGCTAGCTTAATTCATTGAAGCTAATGCCGTTGACGTGTCCAGGTAAAACAGTTTCCTATGACTCACTGAGGCCCCCTGCTGGAAGACTCACAGCTAACGGTAATAATTCACAGCAGCTGTTAAAGAGCATGAGTGTGAAGTGTGTGTGAGACTTTTGGTTGTTTTGTACGGATAAACCAAGCATGCCAAAAATAAAGGCAAACTGTCTGCTGGGTGACACACATGAATTTTAGTCACCGTGGTTTCAGCATGTCGGAGAAGAAGTGGAAAATAACTCGCTAACTAAAGGAATTCCTTTCTATTGTTATGTCATTCTATTATTCAGAAACGGTCATTACCTATGACTAAGATGTCTTCCGGGAAAGCACTACCATGTGTTATGGAAATCTACTATTTTTTAATCGATCTTTGGTCAGTATTTAACCCACAAAATGGAGAATTGTGATATTAAAATAAAAACTTGGAATTAATTTAGATATATTTCTATTTGACAACAAAATAAGTCAATTAATACATTAATTTAATGGATTTATACTTAACCAGTACCTTTTTTTTATAAATGTTTTGAGACAAGTTTCATAAAAAAATTATCTTTATTCAGTTTTATGTAATTGATCCATTTTGATATTTCGCTTTGGGATGTTATGATCAGCATGACATCCGACATTATATAGACCACATTTAAATATTTGGAAAATGAATCCATGATCAAGTTAAGTGTTACCTTTTCAATAATCTACATGAATATACATGTTGGTAATACAGGAGAGTTATACATGTTGCAGGGCGAAACTGTGGGTAGTAAAAGTTTAAAAGTATTACATTTGATCTTGTACATGTTGTGACTTGACATTCTTGTCCTAACCTGAATTAAGTGAATCTACTTTTGATGGATTACAGTATTTAATCCATTTAATTTCCCCCTCTGTCAATAAACCATGTAAGTTTGCATCCTGCGCTGCCCAATATTCAATTAAGATACTTTCCAATAACCGTGTCAGTCAATGACAGGTTTGGTTGGTGTAAGATATGATTATAAACATAGACTAAGTAATTGCTTGGTATGTTATTGTGAAAATGTGCCTTTGCGTGTGAGAGAAGCACCAGTTTGCTGTTGTGATAGTGAAACAAAGGGTATGTCTATTACAGATGGTCATGAGTTTGTCTGAAATAACTGAACATGAACCTTTCTTTTTGCCCCTTCCATCTCTTTTGCTCTCACAGAATTCATTTCAAACATGCATTTATTATACCTTGTTTGTCACTAATGATGTATCCATACCATTAATATGAACCTGCCTTAAAGCCTGGACTGCCTCTTGTTCTCTCCAGGTCTTTCTTTGAGTTGCATCATGGAGCCCTTAATTCATGAATGGCTTTGATGCACTAAAGCCAACACCACAGCTTTCTGTAGTGATAAACATTGTTTTCTGTTTAATGTATCTACACGGAAAAAACTGAAAGGTTGACTTTAATTAAATGTTTTCTGTCAACAAATGTAACATAACTGTATTGGGTTAGTTGAAAGCAATAATAGTTGTTTTTATTTCAGTAAATGTGAAATCTGTTGACATAACACATTGAATTCAAGTCAATGTTTCACTTTTTCAGTGTGTGCAAGGGGGCCGTAACAGATCTTTATCGCTCAATCCTGATTTTTAAAACCTTGATAACCTTTCTTTCCGTGTGTGTGTGTGTTTGCAGAGTTCCGTTCTCCGTCCCACATCAGCGGGTTGAACCGCACATCCTCTCTGAGCGGAGCGGACCGCACGGAGTCGCTCTCCATCAGCGGCAGCAACAGCCAGCTCAACAGCAGCCTCCCATCGCAGCAGTACACGCCCGACTTCTACGTCCGAGCGCTCACAGACCTGCAGTTTGTCAAGGTTGGTCATTTTACACCTAATAGAATGAGTATGTGTACATCGGATAGAGTAAAGGTACAAAAAACATCCTCCATTTTATAGAGAGAGTTTTTATACCACAATCATAGAAAATCTTAGAGCGGAAAATGTTCTGTTCTCGCACCAGCGGTCTGTCTTGGCCGTTTTAGCAACTGCCCTGATAAAGTCGGTATTTACCCACAGCAAATTCAAGGCAGGACTGTAAACACTGCACACAAAAACACACGAGTGCCAATCGGCATGTACAGTGCTAATTGTATTCTCAATAATCCTAAATGGTGTTAAAGCAACCAGATATATGTAAAAAGTGCTAAAGAGGCCTAAATAAACTAATTTGTATAACTAAATATAGACAATTTTAAAATAAATGCCTAAATATCTATGGACCTGCAAAACACCGAATCAATTATTGCTTGCTTGTGTGAACTGTGTTAGAATATGGAGTGAACTTTGCTGGCATACATTGTTATGGCAATGTTCATATCATCTTTAAAGGACAACAATTTGGTACATCTGCTTTCTTCGTCTAGTAGCCAAGTGTTGGATATAAAGATCATATCTGTCCCTGAAGTATAAAGCTGTATGACATAGGACTGGTATTGATCCTATCCTACTAATTTCATTCCATATCACATAGCTGATGCTTTTATCAACAGCGACTTACAATAAGTGTATTCAACCATGAAGAAACAAACTTTAAAAAGCAAGAATCCTGAAATGACATTAGCTATCAATAAGCGAAAACCATTAGCTAGCAAAAAAGCTAATATTCTGCTTCTCCCCAAATTTCAAACTATTCCTTTGAATCAGAGTTCATAGCATTCTGATCGAGGAGCGCCAACTTAGCAAGCAATTTAAAGCGTATGATTGAGGTCAGGAAGTAGTTGGAGTTGATAGTTTTTTCCTAAAACTTCCTTTCCAATACAGGCTTTATTTCCGTTCTCCCCTCTCTCTTTCAGATCACACGGTCCCAGTACCAGAACGGACTGATGGCGTCCCGTCTGGACAGCACCCCCCAGTCCCCGGAGAGCGGCCACAACTCCATTCGGATGGATCAGACCACCCCCCCCGCCACGGCCAACACCACCATCACGAACCTGGGAGGGGACTCCCCCCCGACAGAGAACGGGCCGGACGAGACCACGCTCCTCCTCCTCAACGAGCAGAACTCACCGCACACAGCCAACCACCACAGCCCCCTGGAAAACAGCATTTGACACCCCCCACCCCGTCTACACCCCTAGTTTGCACGCATGCACTACTCCATCGAAAATATGCTGAAGAGGGAAGGAGTGAGTGAGTGAGTGAGTGTGTGTGTGTGTGTGTGTGTGTGTGTGTGTGTGTGTGTGTGTGTGTGTGTTCAACCAAACGGCCATCACCAGACTTGGTGGGAACTGAAACCAAAAGAGGGAAGCTTGATCACATTCTGACTAGAAAATACTTTACAAAATCGGAGACTTTATTTATTGAGTTCAATGTGTGTGTACATATATTATTGTCAATAATGGGGGGACGAGAAATGTGATTTAAATGTTTGCCTCAATGTGAGATTTTACATGGTGAATATTTCTTCAGTGGTTATGTATGGGTTTCCCTTTTTTGTTAATCAGATCTGGGGAAGGGTGGTCACGCTGAACAGCAGACCTTAACATTTATTGATGTTTGTATATCTGTAGCTAAACACACCTCTCAGCCTCGACATCACCCACATTTGTTCAGAAGTACGGGAAGCAATGTTGTATATTTCTTTTGATTTTCACAATGCCTGTTTTTCACAGAACTGCACACACTCCAGTTGTATTTTACTGTACTTTCTGAGGAGATTTTAAAGGAAAGGTCTTTCCTAAAACTCATAAATGTTGTGTCTTGTGACCGATTTTTCGTTGATTGATTTCAAGATTTTTTTAGTGGCACAAAACATGAAAAATGAACCATACATATTTTTTTGTTTTTAAAACCAAAGAGAAAGGGCTGCTTTCTAGTCTTCTTATTCCCTGATGTTCAGCGTTCACACAACCAGACATCTGTGGTTGTGTGAACTACATATATCAGAATGCAATGCAGCTAAATGAAACGTTTTTATTTTCCTAAGCAGATACATGTTTTGTTTATCCCATATTAATCACAGGTGAATCCAACAAGTTCCCATCAGCTCTACTAAATGTTGTTAAAGGAATACTGGGAAATGTAGGACATCAGGAGAGGGAGTAGACAATACATGCTGAAGGGAAGTGGGTCCACTCACCTATTTTTCAAAGTCCACTTTTCCATGTCTCCTATGCATGTGTGTTAAGAGACTCGGAAAGTTTCAGGAGAAAAGATTCACTCTCTTTTTGTCCTGATCAATATAAAAACCTAGTAGTATGAGCTGATCAGATTTGGCAATGTTGTGATGTCACAATGTTTTTTGGGTTGGACAACCATTAGCCAATAACCACACAAGGTAACCCCCAACCTTATCACCTGAATAGAGCTCCTTTGTGTTTTTTAAAAACCAAACATCTCTCAGAGGGGCGTGGCCAGCAGCAGCTCATTAGCATTTAAAGCTACAGACACAGAATCAGCACTTTTGAAACAGGGCTGAAACAGAGGGGTTTATGGGATGCTACAATGCACACTTCATAGACATGTTTTGTATTTATCTGAGACCTATAATATATTGCTAAAAATATTGTATAATAGGGGACCTTTAAAGTTTGTGAAGTTGGACTTTTTTTTGGTGGTCAACATCATCTGTTTCCCTAAAGACAGTTTTCAATAGTCCCGAATTCCACTACCCTAAATCAAATAATGTTGTGAAATTCAGTGATTGTACTGAACTATGAGGTCATCTTTTCATTTGTTCTCCCTTCTGCAGATGACAATATCATTTTCCGCGTGGATCTGAAACAAAAACCCTGACACAAAAGGAGGAATCTAATTATGTTTTCAAATGAATTGCCTTCCTCTTTTTCAGGTTTTCTCATTTAGGGTAGCTTATGTCACAAGTGTTAAAAAAAAAAAAAAGACCAAGAAAAGTAACTTACTGTAATTTGAGTCCGTACATTTCAGGCTACTCTGCTGATGCACCACATAAGACTTATTTTTCTGAAACCACCTTATATAAATTATATCTAAAGATTTGACCTTTCAAACGAACATATGTATAGAATTTAAAGAAGGCAGCCAGTTTCCGGAAGTAGCCGTGATAGTTGAACTTTGTGTTAATGTCATGTGTTTTAGACGACTTTCTGCCTAAGACACGAGCAGCTTTATGAAGAATAATTAGACAAGTTGTTTTATGGTGCATTGTGGGTCGTTGCTGTCCTGGGCTCATGCCAACCATTTATTTGAGCAGATATTGACTTTGTCGGGAACATTAGTTTGAATAAGACACAAGCAGATTATTTAACCTTAACTCGGAAATCTGTTATGGACTTCAGTTTTAGTGTGGTGTCCAGTTTACCAATACAAAAAGGTATGTCCAATTTATTTTTATTTTAACTGGAAAATGTTCACAATTAGGCTTATCATATTTCAATATGGAGTTTGGCAACACTAAATTCACAGCAGACTGGATTTTTAGTGACATTATTGGTTAAATTAAACCCAGTTGGCAAAGAGGACAACAATTACATTCTGTTATTAAATGTGAATAAGAGCAATAGCCAAAATGCCCCTTTTCTATGCACTAATGATTAGTATTCAAATTAGTTGTGCTTTTTAACTAGTCAACTATTTTGTGACCTCGTGATCTTTTTGTTGGTGTGTCTTATGTTTACTTTGTATTGATTGAATAAGGAAAAGCCATGTACAATGTACTTAAATAATTAAGTCAAATTCGGTTTATTATTATCTAGTATTACTTTCACCCCTGACAACTCTATGTCTGTTAGACTAGATACTAAAACTCAGTTTAAAGGTCAGAGGGCGTGCTTACCTATTAATATATATCACTAAAGCTTATATTTTATAAAGGGTCAACATCTGTTGGGAATAATCGGTTATCCAGATATAATCTGTACAATTTATCCCAAAATGTATTTGTTGTGATCTTGAAAATGATCATTGTCTCTCTTCTCAATCTTTAAATGCTTGCCTGGCACCAAGCCAAGGTGTTAATCCTACACTTCCACTCACTATATGGGTGTGATAGTTTCTGGTGCGCCCTGTGGAAATATTTAAAGATGCGTTTCTCCTTAGGGAAACATTGCATAATATCGGGCAGACTGTCTATGAGCTCATGATTATACCTTTAAAGAAACCTGCTTAGTGACATGTAAAAAAAAAAAAAGAAAAGTTGAGCCTTTTCCTTTTAGGTTTTTTAAGGGAAAACTTTTTGACACAACCATTTAGAAATGTATGGCAACTGAGGTCACAAATGGGGCACTAAAGGCATTTATTGCTATATAAATACGAACAAAATAGCCTCCTTTTATCATATAGTCATACAAGCAAAATCTACTTGACAAAAACACACTTTATTTTGAAAGGTACTGATGTTTATTTCAACCATGTGGAGTTTCTTCTGAATGCCCGGCTCTGACTTAGAATGTTTTAAAAACAAGAACTCCACATTAATTAAATTCCCTAATTTTGGGACTGGAAAGCCCGGACTGTTCTGTGATCTAAAAATGAAAGCACTTTAGCATGGAAAGCAGTATTTTCCCCAAAAGGCCAAAAATGTGCCAAAGTTGCTGTCTCATAGTTCCTGTCGCAATAATGTTACTGACCAGGCTTTCATAATCACTGCTGACTCCTTAACATGACACGGCTCTTTGTTTTGTTTGTTTTTTAAATGTCTTGTCAGCACAAAAGCAAGAAGCTTAAGCATCTCTGTGGCTCACCATTCTGTTGCCTTTACTATCTTTGAACGACTGTACTTTGATTTCATTCCTGAATTATTTTTTGACACAAATACTCCCAGTTCTCACGATTTTGTATTCATTTTGTAGATTTTTGTGGCTAAGATTGTGCCCATTTTAAATTGTAATTGGTTGGGGTTAATTATGTGTGTTTGTTATGTGTGAAAGCTTGTGGATCTATTTTCTTTCATCTTTTTTTACCTCAGAACAGTGTCAGTAATTGTGGTTAACAACAATCTTCTTTTTTGTATTTGTCATGATCTGAATTTGGGAACAGAGTCAATGGAGCGACTGGTGTTTTGGGGGTAATTATCGTAGTGTCCTTCATTCTCTCTGGCATGCTGTAACTTCAAAAAAACAACAACAGAGAAACAAGATGTAAATACTGTTTTATAATTTCTGTCTTAATGAGTTTTGATGATGAAGAAAGTTATTAATAAACTTGAGTTATATTTCTCTATGGACCTTTGTGATGGATTTCATTTCCTCTGAGGACTTATACACTTGTTAAACTAATTCCAACATTAAAAAAAGAAGTACAAATCTTCAGTATTTAAAAAATCTGTATTCTAATGAACTTAATGTATTATTAATTGTTGTATCCAGTTGTAGGCCTCCATAAGTTTCTATCTTGTTATTGATAAGCTTAATATAATTTTAAACAACTAATTTGAGATATATAATCGTAATTTTTCAACTTTCCCCTGCTTAAAATGACAGAATACTAGCCTTTTTCCTTTCTCTTTACTCATTGGTGTGTACAATTGTTGGTAGCAGTACTTTACTCACATGAAAGCCAGTTAAACCAGATAGTAACAATAATGGCCCATGGTGATGAAACATCCACTTTTTGTTTATTGCTGCAGGTTGCGGCTGGTTTGTAATTTACACACGTGGGCTGGGGGTGGACAAGGAACTGAGATTACGCCGTTTTACGGAAATGCGTTAACTTTTCTTCACTTGAGTAATCCCAAATCTTAGCTCCTCTTCTCTTACATCACTGGGAAATTTATCCGTAAAACTGGTTCTTCCGGATGTTACTCATCATCATGAACAAGTGATATGAAAGAATTAAAACTATGGATATAACAATAAAGTATATGATTACATTTGATCTCATGAAACTCCCTTGTGTTTATGACACGCTGGGTGAGTCCAATGTAGAAACCTAATATTAGAAAAACAGAGTATGTTCAAAATATGATGCTTGTCTTCCGGTTCTATTTTATGCCTCTCAATGCTTTAATGTTCAAAAAGCTCTTTATTCTTCTCATACTGCCTGTGCTGCAGAACCTCTTTTCACCCTCTGTCTAAAACCAGAGTCCAGTCTGCTCTGATTGGTTAATAAATCGCTTAATAAATCTGACACTAATGACATTTTTATTAGCAATATATCGTTTTCTCAAGTGGGATGATCCATTTTTTAAATATCCACTCAATGCTGAGTGCATTAGTTGATGTGGATTATCAAGTTTTTCCACAGCAGCAAATCTGCTAAATTGTTGGCTAATTCTTGTAGTTTAGCATTTTTTTATATTTAAAAAAGTCATTTCTACTTCTGCTTATTTTCCGCTGGCAACTCCAGTTAGATCATTAGTCAGCAGCAAGGAGTGAATCACAGCGTAGGAGCAACAACATGACACTGTGGTTAAACCACACACACACACACACACACACACACACACACACACACACACACACACACACACACACACACACACACACACACACACACACACACACGCAAAGACATACACACTGCTCCCAGAGTCCAGACAAATCAAATATGTCCACTACTTTTCCTCCGATCGGTCTCAATTGGATAATCAAACATCAAAACAAGGCATTCCTTAATTTCCCAGCTTTCTTCTGTTCCCCCAATGTCTTAAACTTAAAAGTACGTTTTACTATGAAGAGAAAGGGTCAACTCTGGACTCCATTCATCATTGTCCAGAAGGCGGTTGTTTGACATCCTATCTACAATTTATATGTAAAACCAAAGACATGATCATTTATTTTAAAAGACATCTCCACCTAGGAATTCTTATGCATCAAGACAGTGGAATTTGTGCAATCTTACAAATAACTTGGGGCAATTATTAACTCAAACTTTGAAGCAAATTGTGAAGCTGTGTTCAAAAAGGGGTGCCAGCGTTTGTTCTGAATCTGATGCACCTTTTCCGTGTTTTAAATAAGACTTACAAATCATGATGTAATAGAAACGTTTAAAATGAACAGATACAACAAAAATGATCTTAATGGAATAAATATTCAAATAAACTACATGTTTGTTTGTGAGAGCTTGTAGCAGCAGATTAGAAATACATTTTGAAGCTTAGCCAATTAGCGCTTAGCACGAAGATTTTTACGGGGCATATTTATTAACACTTACGTTGTTGAAATTGCCAATTTTGTCACCACAACCTTTAATAGTGTATAATTCATGAAAAATGTTTTAGCGTACACAACATATACAATCTTGAGAACAATTATACTCTTCACACTTGGTGGAATGAGGTTTGTTATTACGCCTATACTCTACAGCACTTTTCTTTAAAGAATGTAGCTATAGCGTGTAATTGTATGACTATCCTTTGGCGGCCACAGTGTTGGTGAAGGAGAGTAACAGGTTGTTGTGTTTATTGTGACAATGATGACAATTGACAATTTATTGATTGAAGTGTCAAAGAAGGATAGAAGAGACGTTAAAGTTAGCTCGGACATGGATCAACAGCTATGGAGCAGCTAAACAAAAACTAAAGGACAGAAGGCTGTGCTACTTTGGAAAAACATACTTTGTAACTTATCTCGGCAGAGTGAGTTCGGACCAGACACACTTTGAAATATAAAGACAGCTTTGGCGCTTAAACTAAAATTGGTTTGGCTTGGACTTAACTGTAGTTTTCATATACACTCAGTATTTGATATAACTACCATTTCCCTCCTCAAGCAGTGTGGGTTCACTCAGGTTGAATCCAGGCTGGGAGCCGTGGGTGACGCTTCCCCTTGCATCACAACAGGGAAGTGGTGAAATGTGAGATTGAGCCGCTGTTATGTAACTATAAACAATAAGCAAGTCTACTATGGCTGGTGGAATATTTGTTCACATCAAAAGGACCACAAAACCCTACTCAAAGAGGTGTACGATTAGGTCATAGCAGAGAAGAAAATGCCACATTGCATATAATGAACTCTGCCATATTTACAGAAGGCTTTCTGTATTTTATGGTATTTCCAAAACACTTTTACGCAGTTTTGACTAATAAAACTGTACAGGGTCAGCAGAGCGGTGGAGGATGCTTCCTTCATATTGTTTTAACACGAAAACCCACTGGTCACACACTAATGACACACAATTACCACAAACCTTTACTGATTTATCGTCATCTTTAACACTTTGGAGCAAGATGTTTTGGTTGGTCAGATAATTGATTTTTGGAAATATCCTTAGTTAGATGGGAAGAATGATACCGACTGGCAATTCCTAAGTAATACAACAATCCAGCATTTTAACCATTTTAACATTTTGTTTATTTGTACGGACAAACCAACAAGATACACAATACTGAGTCACTTCACAAAATGATACAAAAAAATGTAAGTGCTGCCTGTAACATAAATACAATTTGTTGGCTTAGACTACTATTTCTTTATTTATTCATCAGAAACTTGCCAATTAGTACAAACAAACAAGCATATTGTACACAAAATAACATGCGATTTTAGCAGAAGATCACACAATAAGACTTTACACTATTTAACTAGGTGTAAAGGAATACTATCCATAAGTAGCAATATATATAGTATAGTATATAGTGAATTAGAACCTAATTCACATTTCCAGCATTGTCCCCAAACTTTAAATCTTCTACACTAATTATTATCAGATGGGACATTTATATTAGATTACCTGAGGACCCTGTGACCTGCATGTAGCTATGATGGAGCAGGGTGATGATGCTGTAGTCAGTGACTGTTGGTGAATTTTCCGTCAATTATTCCTTCAGATTTTATCTGCGTATTAAATAGAAATATTGTTTATAAAAAGAAAATATTTGTTTTTGAGTCTTGTGTGTAATTTGATTGGGAGAAAACACAGAGATGTATTTTTTTCTTAGTGAATTTGAACCCATGATAACTCTATTTTATTGTTGAATCTGTTATTCAAGCTTTAGATGTCGCATGTTTGGCAGTTCTACTTGGCAGTTTTTTATTATGGTGTGTGTCACAATCACACTAAGTCTGAGTAGTGTGTGTACGGCATAGGTGTGCAAGTACAGTATTTCATCACACATGTCACAGTGAGCGCATAGAAAGACCATCCCACTTCCTTATGCGGAGGGGAAATTACCTTGACAGTGTATAAAGCCTGCAGATCAGCACAGGCAGACAGAACACCAACAACAGGAAACTGCTGGGATCTTAACCATACACTAAAAACAACTTCTATATTGACCTTAACAGGTAAATGACTTTTCTTGGCATATTTTTCTCTTTCAATCTTGAGAAGATTTTAAACAGGATATTTGCTTTCTTTGATATTTAAAATACCTAGTGTAACAAACTGTTAAAACAGCAAAAGTGTTGATATAGGTGTACTGTAGCTAAACAAGGAAGTGAATGGGTAAATAATCCAATTTAAAATACAGAATATTAGATAAAACTGGTAAAATGAAGCTGTAAACATGTAATGTAATGTAAACATGTTAATTATGCGGTGTGATTGAGTGACATTTAAAAATCTCTCTGTCCTCCTGATCTTCAATCAGAAAAAAAGATGGAATTCGAGATGAAATGCAACATGAGCCAGATGTGGAGCTCCGATGTGCAGTCGGGGCTGGACTTTGAGATTACCCATCATCCCCTGACAATGAGGAAAGTGTTCAACCTCATCATCGCCATGGAGAGGATGAAGGGCTCAGAATCAACGCTGAGCACTGAATTCAGAGATGAAAACCTGCTCAACTTCATCATGGATAGCATAGTGGAAGGTAATAAAACTGGCTTTATTTCACGGTATCCCTGAACAAAAAAATAGAAATGCTGTCATCTAATTCATTCATGGAGTGAACATCTGACATCTTGTTGGCCTTTACACACAATGTTTATCATTTTTAAATAACTTTAAATAACATCCATACAGACTTTTGTTCAATTATTTGCTCTTTTAACTCACTTATAATAGTGGGACATCCAACACTGAGTTTATCTATAGCTGTATTTAAAGTCTGTACATGCATACTGTATGATATAATGTATGCTAAGCAGCAGTAAATTATTCATGAATGTCTTGTTAAAACAGGAAAATAACAACTGTGGCAGTTATTTCTCCTTCACAATGAGATCACAACAGCAACATAACTAATCAAGTGTGTAACTTTTCCTTCCCCACAGAGCAAATTGTGTTCGAGTGTGCCTCTGCTCCACCAGCTCAGGTGACACGGACGGGCGTAGAACAGCAAAACATAACCGACGAAGAGAAGAGGAGCTTAGTTATGGACCAAAACAGCATGGAGCTCCATGCAGTGACGCTGCAGGGAGGCGCTGAACACAGAAAAGGTGATTACTTGTGACTGGTGTAACTGATTTTATTGTATACAAATGTTAACTTTAAATGTATAAATCATTAACCTGCTTGATGCCTTGTCTTATTGCTGCTGTACATGTTCCTCCTGCATGACAGAAGGTGACATGGTTGTTCCGCTTTCATCAAAGTGAACCTGTATCTTGTGTTCTCTCCTCAGTTTTCCTGAACATGTCAACCTTTTTGCACCCTGCGTCCACCATTGAGGGCAGAACTGTGGTTCTGGGCATCAGGGGCCAAAATCTGTACCTGTCATGCCGCAAGGATGGTGACAGTCCAACCTTGCATCTGGAGGTAAAACTCATGAATTATTACATAAATCCCCCATAAAGATTACTCCCTTAATAATAAAGGGAAATAGTTCCAATACGGCCTGGATTGCAAACACCTGGAAGAAAAACAGCACATTTGTACATGAATTTACTTTTTGAGCTAGTAATTTTGTCTGGAGTGATAGTCAACCTTTTGACATTCTTCTATCTTTTCACACCTCAGGCATTGGAGGACAATAGTCTGCTGAACATCAGCTCCAACAGCGACATGGTGCGATTTCTCTTCTACAAAAAGGACAGCGGGGTGAACATCAGCACCCTCATGTCTGTCGCTCAACCCAACTGGTACATCAGCACAGCAGAGCAAAACAACAAGCCGGTGGAAATGTGCCAGGAGACCGCCAAACGCTACCGCTCCTTCAACATTGGTGACATCCAAGGAAATGTTGAACGCCAGAGTTAAAAACCTACCAAAGAAACTGGCAGTCTAGATTGACCCTCTTAAGAGGAAAATGTGGATAGTGTAAATTACACTGCACTTTTTGATTTAAAAAAGCAATGATTTTTTGAAAGTCTCTTTACTGTATGTACCAAGTACACAAAGTGAAAAGCTTAGTGTACTGACAAAAGTCATGTTTCACCAGAAGGTGGCATTATTGTGCTATCTGGTGAACACCCTATGTATTTATTTTGCTGATTAACATGATGCACTGTTAATGCTTTTTTATCTAATTATTTATTATTTATGCACCATTTCAAAAATGTGTATTTATTTGAAAGAATGGTAACTAACAAGTATTTAAACTGTGTACTGTGAAATATTTAATAAAGCCTTATAACTTATTACAATGTGTGTTTTATATGTTCAATCAGTGTTTGGTTTATGATAAAGGCATTCACAACATACATCAGCTGTAGTTCAATTCCAATGCAGTAATTCTAAGCCGATTAACCATAGGCCTATAGTCTATGATATTAGCTATTATAAACAAATGTACTGTTTCCATTTTATGCTGCTTTTTTCTTCTTATCTGCCACTTAATCTACTTAAAATAAGATCCACCTGTACCAAGTGCTGTGATGATCGCATGAATGCATCAACAGTTATAATCTAATAATAAATTACACTGTTTTACTGCAAGAGTTTAATTTAAACAGGGTATTTCTGGTATATTCTACATTGTACTTTTTGTTTACATTTTCTGCTCCAATCAGCGCTGGGGTTATGCACATGCGTAGTACTTATTTCAAATGTCAAATCGTCCAATCAGAGAAGAGTAGGCGTTCAGTTGCGGCAGTTTCAAACCTGGATCCGCGGACTCAGTTGTTATGAAGCTACCGTTGATTTAACCAGAGACGTTCCTGAGCATTTTTGCTATAACGTACATTCACCACTACACACGTCCAACGAGCCATTTTCCTAACAAATCTGCTGAAGAGAAGAGACTTAAGTCTGATTGAAATGGAAGAAGGAGAGACCGTATCGATACCTTCCAGAAAAGGTTAGCATTGTGAGCTAATTAAGTGTGTTAGGGTTAGCTGCCCTGTGTAAGCTAACCCATGGTAGTGTAGCAAACATTAACTTAGTGTTGTTTTAGCATGTAAGTGAGCAAACATTTCCTTGTCCAGCTAAATAAATGAACCTCATGGTGATAGTTTGGTGGCCCTGCATATGTGTCATTAGAAGCTTTACATTAGTCTTGTTGAAGATCAAATGCGTAGCGTGAGGGTAGTAATATGGATTTAAGATGATACTGCACTTGTGTTACATATAATGATAAACAAAGCCATATATAAGTATGCATTGCGTTTTATTACGTATGTGATATGGTAAAAAAAATTACAAACCGGTGTTGTGCCAAATTATGCGCATTTTAAAATTAAACGTTTACACCTTAAAACGATGCTTAACAAGTAAACGTCCAGGGTTTTTTAGCTCATATAGTCTTGATTCTTGTGGTTAAACGTTTCGCTCTTATTTGTTGACGCTCATGCCTGGGTTGCGGTCGGATAATCCAAAAATCAGCTCGTAACGCAGTAGCGTAGGCAGAATTGTACTTTAGGGTGGGCCTGTAAAAAATAGGGTGAGCCAGATTTTAACAACAATCCCCGCCGGTACCGGTGGCAGATTACTTTTAGAATACTTTTGGAATACTTTATTTTTCCACAACAGATGGGTATGTTTTGCTGAACAGGAGACACGTATTTTACTGTTTTAATGGCTTATCAAGAGCACAAACACAACATCTTGATGTCATTCTGGACAGCTCTCTCATCTGCACCCCACATAAAAAACATCACCCGGACTGCATTCTTTGTACTGTCTTAAAACCTTTCCTTAGAATATGTTATGAATTGTAAGGTGTCCTTGGGTGCTTTGAAAGGCGCCCCTAAATAGAATGAATGATCATTATTATTTATTATCTGAAACGATGTAATAACTTTTAAAACTTTTTCCAGTCACTTGCCCCATGCATTCAGCAGCAGCAGGCCATTCACTTTGATTTGATCCCGTTATAAATGTCATCATTTCGACAATAAAGAAATGCTACATAAACGTTATCTTGAACATTTTATCTAACCATCTCCGTTTCTAACTTTCAATATATTTTAAAAGAGACCTCTCTCTCTCATCTACGTGCGGGGGTGGGGCCTCAAAGAGACGTTGCATCTATCTATAGCTCACAGACATGCTGCAGAGCAGTGCAGTGTGCACACAGTACTGCCGGTAATAAATATTACATTTTGTGAGGAAACTTTTCCACCAATAATTCCAATAAGTATTCCAAAATGTATTCACTTCAGGTTTACGAAAGTAACCTTAATCAGATTAGGCCTACTCGTTTTTCAAATGCAACGCCAGCTGAATACACTTAAATGTACGTTACATGTATTCCGTTACAACACAACCCTGTGCATATCTCTCCGGACTGTCCACCAGCAGATGAAAAACACCCACCTCTCCGCCTCTTCGAAGGGACGAGGGAACCGTGCGGCAGAGTTTCCGTTAACATTTGTTTTCTTCTGACAGCCCAGCAGCAGGATAGGTGGGGAGAGGGAGGCGGGGCTATTTCATCGTTATCAGAAAATGATCGTATAGATCGCTGCTAGATGAGGGCAGTGGGGGCGGCTCTTCTTGGAGTCTGGCTTTTAAAAAAAAACAAGTTCATTAGTGAACTTTGAGCCATCATTTATTTTGCAGGCAGCTCTCTGCCTCTCTCACGTTATTATGGCGCGCGCCAGAACCAACAATCAGTTTTTACCGTAAATGAGTTTGGTTCAGAGGATAAAACACATACAACATTAATTAAACTCTATATTTGTTCTTAGATATGATCCATCCCTGCATCATTTGCACATTGTATAACAATTGCCTAAGGCGTGCTGACAATTTCAACCCCTTTCTCTCTCTAGTGTTTTATACGTAGTTTATTTGTTTACAATGCTCCATTTTTTCTTATTTACTTGTTCGTCTGTTACCTTGTGATTCAATGTAGCCACTAACCCACATAACCGATCTACCGTTCCACAACCCAAATCCAAGTGTACGAAATAAACTCCGCAATACATTTTACAATTGGCTAAGACAAAAAATACTACCCACAAAATCTCCAACATGGGGGATCTAGATCAGAGACATAAGACGAGTTTCACGTGGTCTAACTTCGTAAATTAAATTTTACAAGTTTATTTAGAAGGGCCCCCCCCAGCCACCGGACGCTCCTCCCATACCGCGCGGGGGAATTTTGTACAAGTATGTTAGGACTTATGTAACTTCGGTAAACTGCATATATAATGGATACAGTTAATCCCGGACCGGTATATAGCTCCCAAATGTGCATGTCAGCCACCTAACGTGACTCTGTACGCTACAGCATTTACTCGGTGTAGCACTCGTAGCTCATATACAAAAGTTTACGTTAAGGCGAGGCCCGGTTTTAAACCGCCGCAGAGGGAGATTGTATCACCGGATGCGTCGTGTGTGCGTCCGGGGCAGATTGAAAGCGTGTGGGTTTGTAATGTGTGTTTTGTAATGGTGTACTGTCGAACTGTGGTCTCTCGTACCGAGCTGTAATATTTACCGCGGCGACGAGCCTTCGGATACAACCTGTGGGCCTGGTCAGTATTGCATGAAAGTGAACCGGGCAGAGCCCGTGATTTTTAACGAATTTTTTTTTTTAACAGGACAACCATATCCATAAAACTGTTCGTTACAACAACGTTAACAAACAAGAATATTGCGTGTTGTATCGCAAGCACTCCGGGGCCACACAGTAACCACTGTTCGTTTGTCGACCAAATGACGCCTCGGTCGCGCCTCGTCGAGGGCAAACGGGGCACTCGCGGCCCGTTTTTTGATAGAAGTTTTATTGTTCTTCTCAGTGGCTCCTCAATTATTCCTCTCACTGTCCATGTCACTCTTCTCCCTCTCTTTCAAAGTCGGTCGAACTAGCATAACCTCAACAAAAGATCACCACGTCACTGCGCAGGATTTTGGGAAAAATTAGATAGCTCAATCTCAAATACTAAAGCTTTTAATATTTTCATCCCATCTGTACACCCTATAATAGGCCATACGACTTGTTTTGCCGTAACATAGTTGTCCCAAACAAAAGTGCTGGAATAAAGGTCGAATAAAAGGTTTTTGCGATACCTCTTAGGGTAACGAAACACAACAGCTCCCTTGGTCGACGAATTAACGGACCAAAATCCTGCGCAGTGACGTGGCAGAGTTATACTACGGTTATATTTGTTCAGAAGGAGACAGCCGACACATGTAGTTACGGTACTGGATACGACTAGTTCAATATTCACTCAATCATACATTTTATATTTTCCATAACCGATTATCCCTTTACAGGTCGGTTAAATCCTCTTACTTTCCAAGATTAGATTAGATTACTGTAATCGTAATGTACAGATTGAAGACTATTACTGCCTTCTGTCTTTACGTAAATATGATTATTATTAGTTATGAGAAGTATTGGAGGAGGGAGGGAGAATCTGTTACTGTGTTATAGTAATAAAATTATTTTAGGTATATACTTGTAACTCCTTTTACTCCTTCTGACTACTAAGTTTACAAACATCATGTTCACATTACATCATCACTATTAACTGAAACGTTGGTTTACACAATTAAAAGGAAGAATATCAGCTAAAAAAAATTACCGTCCTGTGATACAAACGTCTCTATGATCTAGTAGTCATGACATTTTGTGCATTGTAGTTCCCCAATTTATGTAAAAAATTACACAAATCTCCTGTAAAAGTCTATGCGGTAGTATGATAACATAGTAGCCTATAGACAGGTTATAGACGCCTATAGTAAACAACAATCCTGGTATGAGCGGAGTCGGATTACAGTTATGTCAAAGACAAAAACACACATAAACAGAAAACATATCTAAAAGCAAATAAGAAAATATGTATTTTAGGCGGGTCCCGTCGTTTGAACCGATCTTGGCCGGGACCATGATCCGGAGTTCTCGGAAAGAACACGAACCTGCCCTGTGTAACCTTTGTTAACCGCCGCGCGTGAAACGTGTGTGTTTTTTAAAAGTGTGCCGAGCGGCGAGTGTAATGCCGACCCGGGTGCACGGAACCGTCGAAGACATACTGAGGTAGGATCCCCTTTGTGACAGAAGTAATATGTAGTGTACAAAATCAGCGCCATATCTTTTGACAATCAAAGGTGTGTCGTCGTCTACGTGTAAATACTGCAGGCCGACCGCGTTAAGCATTTGGTGCGCGCTATCACTTTCACGTCAGCCTAAGAGATTTCATGGCGTCAGAGAAGAAGGATTTAGGAAAACCATTGACAGAGGAAGGGATCGAGGGATTGGGACACCTGCAAAGTGAGTCTCCAGTTCCTTGTCTGCTATCACTGCGATGTCCTGTCGACCGCAGCAAAGACATCCTGTCCCACAAGGGGTCCGGGTGGGTCCAAATGAGTAACCGGGGTGGGACTCTTTCGAAGCCACACAGTAATTATATAAAAAAATCATAATATAATATTTTTTTACATAAGTGGGTAACTATTAAGGTTCGTAAGTTTCACT